CTATATCTATATCTATTAGTATCAAGATCGTCTACCATTTTGTGTTAACTATTTTGCTTTTAAAGGCCCCCAAAGCTTAATTATAAAAGCAATTTGGACAGAATTAAGTTCGAAGAATTCAAGTCTATGATGCTAACCTGATTGTTGGGTTTCCTGTGTTTTGTTTATGTGAAACCGCTGTACTTATCATTTTGGGCTCAGAAAGAATCCGAGCGTGATTCGATCGATCAAAACATTCAGTGTTTCTAGAGTTCAACAGCTGTGAGAAAATTCCTTATAGCATCTCAATCTTAGTTGAGAATAAATCTAAATTAATTCGGTGTACTGGCAGACTGTAGTTAACACACAGCRAAGGAATGAMTWCAAGTCARCCCGGTTCGTACGTCGCTCTGGAAATGACAGAACGAACAAGAACGGTCAGCGAAGGCAGCGCCAAAGGAAGGCACGAGGAGACGGACGAAATTGGTGGTGACTTAAATGAGCTTTTTTGGATGAAAGTTAGTATATACTAAGTTTTAATCTATATGTAGTGGTCAGTATAGCTTAGATTCCTAACAAAAGCGTACATATTAGCATTCTTGCATTCATTATAAAATGTAAATACTCTTACTTCAAATGTGAATATTAAGCTTAACTTACTTTGGTAAACTATGGTATTGTAGAAAATTATTCTGAGCAATTTTGACAAAATCCACATATTCATTGATAATTTCTAGAACATTTTGATTAAAGAGGGCTCTTAATCGCTATTAGCAGTCAATACAATTGGGTGTGGTTTTTTAGCACATGTCAAGAAGTCAACTATAAACATTCAAAATTCGGTTTCAGTACATACAGCTCGAGCTAAAACGACGTCATCTTCTACTATATTTGATGTAAATTTATCGTGTCTAAAAAATTGATTTTGAACTTGCTAATCAATTGAGGGTGTTTTTTAGTTTTTGCAAAACTTTCGTGATTATTCCTGAATCTTCATAAATATTTGATTGCGTTTTCGAATACCTTCATCTCTGAATTGTCAAATTTCGAAGATTAATTGAATATTCATTACCCTTTAAAAACAATTTTTGTAATTTCAATACAAAACTCTGTGAATGATTGTCGAAGAATCTGAAACTTAGTGCAGAAATTTTATTTTACATATAGATCCCTTGAATCTTACACCAAAGAAGCTTTATCTGGAGGACAAAACAAAATATTTTTCTCTTTTTTAGAACTAGACACAGTCTCTTTGTTCTGCAGTATTCCCTTGAACAGCAAGGGGTCTATAGGCAACACAWATTTTCATTTCTGGTTAAAAAATATAGCCACACATATGTTTTTGCTACTTACCTTTAATTTTCACTAATTTTAACTGCACAAGKTTAATTGTTACAAAAATACAACTTATATGTAGTGTATTGAGGGCTGAACTAAAAGGAACAGTTACAAGGAGTTACAGTAATACTCCAGTTTCAAATTCTCTTTTGTGCAAGCTTTTTTAAAAACTTCAAGCAAGCATAAATTTTTATTATCTTCTTTTTATCAAGAGTGTTTTCATTACAATAAATTCTCTGCTGAATAAAGAATATATCACATGCTTTCGAGGTTAAGGCTGCACAAATAAGATCTAAAAACTGAAATATTCTTTTTAATTTCAAGTAATCCACAGTTAGCCATAATTTATCATTATTTCAGGTAAGAAACAAGTACAATGACTCAGAAATATCTTGGAATCATGCCATGGATGAAGTTCGCGTCGAGCGGTTGATAGAAAGATATGAAAACAGTGGTAACAAACTCTCAGAAGCCCCACTTCTTGTCATGTTGAAAGGATGGACAGCTGGTAGAAAATATAGAGATAATCCATGCCTTAGAGCAGCCTTGGAACACCTAGTGAGTATAGTAAAACCACAGACATACTATAATTTCATTTTTCATTTGATGTCTGGTTAATTGTGTTGGGCTTCCTGTGTTGGAGAGGACACAGGAAGCCCAAATTTCAAACAAGTAAAGTTTTTATAAATTTGTGAACTCCAACAGTCAACACTAACAGGGGTTTACCTGGGATCAGTGATCTGTTTGTTATGGGTTCAGGGATTAGGATTTTTGCTTTGCTTTGAGTCAGGAATCAGAGAATAACTGGCCAGGGATAACCTTACGGTGTTTCTATTCCTATCAATCAAAATATCACAGAGATTGCTGGGGCAATCCCTGATACTAA